TTTTTCTTTTCGAAGAATTCTGACATTTGCTCTAATACTCCTGATACACTTTAGCCTTTTTCTTTAAGATTCTTACATCATCTTTAGCTCAAAAGCACGCTATTGCTGGGTATATTTCTCTAAATAAAATGACAGAACTCTGGTAATTCTCTGAGAAATACCGAGCCCTACATTATGTAAACATCATCAAAATTACATCGTGCTAAGTTCAGGTTAGGCAAACAGAAAAACTTAACATTTTTCTGATTTTTATTTATATAGGTTCTTTAACCTGATAATTAAGCTCTAAATATGATGCAAAATTCTTGAAACTGCCTATAAACAACTACAGTGGGTGAGTTATTTCAGCAAGCAGTGAAAGAAATCCAAGCTGCAATGGCCCTCCTACAATACCAGTATATTTCTGCCACTAACTATGAACATTTCAAACTTCAAATTTTCTTTCTAGTCAGAAGAAATCCTGTGATGACAAGTTTAGCTGTCTCCTCGTGAACTAGTGAGGGGTGGAATGAGTAATGACAAGTTAACTCCTGACTCAACTTGTCAAAGTAGTGAATCCTAGAATCTAGTGCAATATATGTTTGACATTTAATAGTATCGGTTCAACAACCTTCCTCTGTGATGCTGATCTAAACTCCATGCACACTGAATAAAGCATCAAACAGCATATTCAATACAAATGCTCACTGACATTATGACTTCAAGTGTTATCAAACAACCATTTCACATTTCTTGATAAAAATTCCAAGGAAACATTCATTTACATCCTGAAAATCTGAAAAATTATTTTGATGAACTCTAATTACAGAGAAATCAGTTATTCTAATTGTCCATTCCCTAAAGATAAATTTCAAAGACACTTAAAGAAACATTCCTATTTGATATAATGAATTGAAGCAGTTCAATAAAACCTAGAAACCAAGTCCCAGGACTAATAAAAACAATTCTCCCAAAATTACAATAATCACAAAGTGTAGACAATCAGATTTGAGCCTAGTCTACTGACAAGAATCAAGTGTCTTTGCAAATAATAGAATCAATAAATTTGACTGCATAAAAATAAATTTACTCATATAAAGAATATTTTAAACATAACTGAAAAGCAGATAATACACTCCACAAATATGGCTGAAAAGGTAATATCCTAAGCATTTATACAAAAGTAAAAACAGTAAGTCTTCAACAGAAATGTGGTCATCAAGCCATGAAAAGATAATTCACAGAAGAAATGCCAATAGCCAATAAACAAACCAGTCTAACAAGCAGAGATATATAATAAAACAGCAATATGTCAAAAGCAATTTATCAAAGATCTAAAATGTATGTTCATCACTAAAGAGTATAACTAGACAAAGTATTTTACAGGTTGATTAGATATTCTGAAGAGAGATTTGACAAGATGTGCCAAGAATCTTAAAATATGCATGTTAACTTTTGACAAGTAATTCCAATTACAGGACTAGACCATAAGCAATTTGAAATAAAGACATGATATCTGCTTCTCTTAATATCTTCCTGACCCTCTCCCATGCACATACACACAAACACATGTATTTACCAGAGCATTTAAAAAGTGAAAATAACCTTAAATCCCAACAACTAGGGCAATTTGAAATAAAGACATGATATCTGCTTCT